AGCCCCGGCATGTGCCGGAGGCCGCTCCCAGCTCCTGTAACCGGCGCGGTGACAGTGAGAGCCGCTGTCAGCAGAGAGCAGAGGCCTAGGCAGGGCGTGCAGCTGCCCGGCCCGGGCCAGCCTGTGGCTGAGCTGGAACCCGAGCCCGAGGTCTGGTCAGCTCCGGGTCAGCCCGAGGTCTGGCCGAGCCCTTCGGCTGTCAGGAACCCCCGGCTGGAAGGGCACGGGTCCTCTGGTGCTGCCTAAAGCGCAGGGCAGCGTGACGGGTGGCGGTGGCCCCCATCCCCCTGCCCACCCCTCCAGTCCCGAGGTGGCTCTGCCCCTCTCCCTGCTGCAGCCCTCAGAGTCGGCAGATGCCTCTGCCTGGCTGTGACTCAGCCTCTCCATTTGTTGGTGGTTGCCTTTTTTTTCTTTTTCTTTTCCAAAGGGTGACATCACCGCAGAGCTCTGGCTCGGGGACTCTGGAGCGACGGCAGGCCCCTCAGGCCCCACCGGAGAGCGCCCAGGGGCGGCCAGGGTGGCCGACGGCCGGACGCTGAGTCAGGCCCCCAGAGGGCCTTGCCCTTGGCCTCTGGCGCTGGGCAGAGACTGTCACCTCCCGAGCAGGTGCAATCCACACCTTAGCTGCACCTGCCTCGGGCACGGTGCCGAAAACACCTGTCCCATGTCGCTGCCCAGCTGCCTATGTCGCTGCCCAGCTGCCTCATGACCCCAGGAACGATGTGTCCTCAGTGTTGTCGATGGGGCCAGAGACCCTCCTGGGGAGGGACGGCCCAGAGCCCTACTTTTCAGGGAAGGGGAAAGAAATGGAGGATTTGTCCCAGAGACCTGGGCGTTGGGCACTGCCCACAGCTGAGGCTGGCGGGCTGAGTGAAGTGGAGGAAAGCGCTTTCCCCTAGTGAAGGAAGCTTCCCTGGCACTCAGGACTCTTGGTAGAGCCCGAGGTTCTGTGAGGTGGTGAGTTCCCCGTCCCTAGGAGGATTCAAGCAGGGCAGCAGGGCCCTGGCATGGACACTGTTCCTCAAGGGGCTGAGCCCAGCGTGGCGGAGTCGGATGTTCCGGGTCCAAGTCCCGGTTTGCCTGGGTGAGCTCGGGTGGGGCACCCAGCCTCTCTCCTCGCCCCGAGATGGGACTCGCAGCTCCGTGGAGGGCAGCTCTGGGTTCCCAGGAGAGCGTGGGGAGCACCGCCGTGCGTGCACACGCCTGGGGCTCCCGCTCCGCCCGTGTGTCTGGATGCTTCTTGGCCTCTGAGCCTTTGCCGCAGGGCTGGGCCTGGTCAGAAGAAATGGCCGCAGCTGCCCGGGGGGCTCAGGCAGGAGAGACGAGCTCTAGGTGATGGGGGCTGGGAGATGAGGGGACTGCGGGACTGGCTCTCCCAGGAGCCACCTGAGAGGGTCCGGCCAGGGTGGGAGGGACGGAGGGGATCTCCCTGTATCCCGGGAGGCAGAGAGAGCCCAGGACTCCCAGGTGCAGAGAGGGTCCAGGAGCCCGGGAGGGGATGGGGTGCCCAGGGCACCTGGGATGGGGACACCCCTGAGCAGCCGCGGCCAACTTGGGCTCAAATAACTAACAGGAGATGACAGTCCCCCACAGCTGGCCTCTGCCCAAACGTTCCTTCCCGCTGGCCACCCCTTCCTTCCCTCTCCTCCTTCCCCAAGCCCCGTCTGCTCGAGCTCACGTCTCTCACCCCTTGTAGTGGACCCAATGGTGGCCCCAAAATGACATGTCCACCCAGAGCTGCAGAACATGACCCCGTGTGGAGTGAGCGTCTGTGCAGATGGAACGAAGTTAAAGATTTTCCCACGGAAGTGTTCAGCCCGTAGGGTGGACCCGAAGCCCAACAACAGGTGTCTTTGAAAGAGAAAGTTGGCGGTGTGGGGGTGGGGGTGGGGTCTGCGACAGACACACGGGAGGGGGGCGGCTGTGTGCAGACACCAGGGCAGGGGTGGTGACGCGTCTACAAGCAGAGGATGCCGGGGTCACCAGCACCCCCAGGAGCCCGGAGAGAGGCCTGGGGCTGGCCTTCCCTCAGGGCTTCCAGGGATTTGGGGCTTCTGGTCTCTGTGGGAGAGTAAGTTTCTGTTGACTTGAGCTGCCCAGCTGGTGCCCGTTTGTCACTGCAGTCCCCCTGCCCCCCGCCCCCAGCCCCCAGCCCAGGCCCCAGCGGCTCCAGGTCGGAGCCTGGGGCAGCCGTGGTTTGGAGGAGCCACAAGGCCTGCTAGCCATCACCTCAGACCAGGCGAGCGTCTGTCCCCACCTGGGTCCCAGCGCCCAGTGGGTCTCTCCTACCTTCCTGACCCCCAGAGGCTGCCAACAGCCACTTGCACCCCACCCCGGCCTGGCACTGTCCCTGGAGCCCAGCAGGCTGCCGGGGATGTGGGTTGGAAAAGCAGGGTGCTAGGGTGTCTCCACCTCGAGAGCCCCCTTCCCGTGCCCGGGGGCTCTGCCTTACAGAGTCCCCTTCCTCGGGCCGGGGTCGCTGTCTTGTCCCTGCCCCTCTCGAGGCTACACTGCAGGCACAGAGCCTGCTCCGGCACCCAGACCACCTGACTGAGCTCGGATGAGCGACAGCAGAAAGCACACGCCCCAGCACCCCTGTCTGGCCAGGGTGACGGCGGGCACAGGGCCCTGGTGTCTGAGGTGTGGCCTGCGGGGTCTGTGCCAGTGGGGGAGGCCGTGTGGTGGGCGTCGCCCCTGGTTACGTGGCCACCAAGGCCACCGCCAAGGCTCTCTGGAGGATTCCATGAGCCTCCTAATATCCCGCACTGGGTTCTGTTGGGCCGGCCAGAGTGGGCTCTGGGTTCCCAGTGGCGTGTGGGAGGAGGAGACGTCTGTCCCGGAATCATTCTCAGCTCTGTCCGTGGAGCAGGTGGAGGGGGGACGGCACACCCCAGACACAGCTCCCGAAGCCCCTTCCCCTCCTGACCCTGCTGGACGAGAGCCAGCCTCTGCCCCGGGGGTGGGGGCCTAGCGGCAGGCGGGTCCCAGGAAGGAAGAAACACCCACACATGGCTGGAAACGGGGGGTCAGGACAGACGGCCCCAGGTCTGGCCGAGGCTCCCCGGCCTGGCTCTGCTCTTCTCCTGCCGCCCCCTCGGCCCTCCCTCCCTCTCCTCGCTCCTCCTCCTCCCTCTCCACTACCCCCTTCTTAGAAATGAAGTCATCTAGAAAAATAATCAAAAAATAGAAAGGGAAAAAAAAAAAAACAAACCTAAGAAAACGGGAATTTTTTCCCCCTTCAAGCATTTGGCGAGACACCTCCCACACGGAGGAGAGTGTCCACCGGGCCTGTGCTGGTCTGCGGGAGGCTCGGGCCTGCACCGCTCGGGAGCCAGAAGCAGCCAGCCCGGCCCCCGCGACGGGGTCTGCCCTGGGCCTCCCCTCTGCAGCCTGGCAAAGGCCAGCCCTGCCCGCAGCCTCGGCCCAGCTGTGCCCTCCGTGGGGAGGCCGTGGAGCCTGAGGCAGCGGTGGCAGGGGCTGCAGGGGCAGGGGCGGCAGGGGCAGGGGCTGCAGAGGAAGGGGCTGCAGGGCAGGGGCTGCAGGGCAGGGGCCGAGGGCAGGGCGCACACGGGCCAAGGAGCCTTAGCTCCTACACGAGGCCTCTGCCTCCAGTCTCTCCCCTCTTCCCACCGGGCCCACGCCTGCTGCAGGTTCTCGTTTGTTTATTTATAATTTATACTCAGCCTGCTTCCAAGAAAGCTCCCAGGCACTTGCTGGAAAGCTGTTTCCTGAAGCTCGGTTGTGCTCCCGGCAGTCCTGGGCTCACCGCCCGTCGATGCTTCCCCTTCGCTCCCGCGTCCAGGGCCCTCCGGATCCGGCCCCAGACGCAGTCTCGCCGCCCCTGCGTGTGTCCCGGCTTCTCCACTGACACTCCCTGGGGCGCAGCCTGAACCCAGACCCAGGGGTCCTTCTCCCCGTTGGGGGATCAGACCCTTCCCCTGTGATGTGTCTCTAGTCCCCTGATGGGAGGGGACTCGGTGCCTCTCTCTTCTGCCCTTGGCTGGCTGTTCTGTCTCAGTTACTGGTACTGGCTGCTCCTTCCTGCCCTCCTTGGAGGAGTGCACCCAAGTCACAGTATTACTGACGAGTGACCAGTGACGGTGCCAGGGCAGGTGGGAGCAGCCCACCCTGCTGTGTCGGAGCAGCGTTGGGGTCTGAGGTGCCTGTGGGTGGTCCCACGGTTGGCATGCAGGGAGAACCCTCCTGGCAGGGCAGAGGCTGGAGGGAAGAGCCGCCCTGCCGGCTTGGTCTGAGCCCCCGGTGGGTAGCTGCTGCAAGTAGAGGCCCAGGACACCATTTCCACATGTGTTTCCTCAAGACCTGGGTGACAAAGTGTGACCCCATGGACCAGGAAGGGCACCAAACATAGAAACAAACCGGACACAGCTGTATTTGGCAGCCCCAGCTTGGGGGCTCAGGCAGCTGGCCCTGAGCCGGGAAGGCCAAGCCAGAAGAACCAGTCCACCCAGGGATCTGTGGGATAAGAAATGCTGGTTGTTGGCCGGGCGCAGTGGCTCACACCGGTAATCCTAGCACTCTGGGAGGCCGAGGCGGGTGGATTGCTGGAGGTCAGGAGTTCGAAACCAGCCTGAGCAAGAGCGAGACCCCATCTCTACTATAAATAGAAAGAAATTAATTGGCCAACTAATATATATAGAAAAAATGAGCCGGACATGGTGGCGCATGCCTGTAATCCCAGCTACTCGGGAGGCTGAGGCAGTAGGATCACTTGAGCCCAGGAGTTTGAGGTTGCTGTGAGCTAGGCTGACACCACAGCACTCACTCTAGCCTGGGCAACAAAGTGAGACTCTGTCTCAAAAAAAAAAAAAAAAAAAAATGCTGGTTGTTTTAAGCCACTGCATTTGGGGTAATTTGTCACCCAGTCAGAGCTAACTGATACACCCAGGAATCGCAGGAGTCCCGCCTGCCCTCAAGAGACCAGCACTGGTCTTGGACAGGAAGTCCCCAAAGAGGCTATGGCAGGAAACCTCTGGGCTCACCGAGGCCATTTTCATTGCTGGTGTCTAGAGGGCGGGACAGGAAGAAGAAGACAGAGAAGGAGCCATTTGACCACTTGAAGGCTGAGGAGCAAGTGGGGGGCGGCCAGACTTGGGGTCAGCAGCTCTAGGGGCACCCATGGAGGAGTGTTCCCATGTCGGTATTGGGGGCTGGGGCAGGGGGCTCCTTTGAATCCAGTCCTCAGCCCATCTGGGACCTCAGAACTTCTTGCTTCTGGAAGGAGAGCCACTCCCATGCCTGGAGCCCCCATGCCTCGGCCTGGCGTCCCCAGCTCACTTTCATTGCTGCGGCACAACACACAGGCCTTGCCTGAGGGCAGGGTTCAGGTGCCCGCTAAGACCTGGGCCAGCCAGGGCCAGATAACTGGCTTCGCCAGGACAACTGGGCAAAATCCCTTCATTCCTCCTTTGTGAAACAGAGCTGAAGGTGCCCACCTCAACCCCTGGCCAGGGAGTAAACAAGAGAAAGCCACAGAGCACCCACACCCCCTCAACCTGCACCCACCTGTAAAATGAAGCAGCCCCTCCAGCTTCTCCCTCTGCCCCGTCTTTAGCTCCCGCTTCTGCAGAGCAGGCTCGATGCCTCCGCCCGCCGGCACGGCACAGCACGGACAAGGGGGGCCGTGCCTGTCCTCCACCATCTGCAGGCTCAAGAGCCCACTGGCCTTGGCACTGTCGGTCAAGGCCAATGCCCAGCTCCTCCCTCCCTCAGCCGAAGCAGACTCTGCCCGGCCAAGGGGGAGCCCCAGCACTCGGGGCCCTCGGGGGTTGCCCTCAGGAAGCCTCAGTGGAAGGGCAGATGCCAGCTGGGTCGTGTCAGGGATGCTCTGTCACTTGGCAAGCACACTGCAGAGCACAGTGTGGCCTTTCCCTGGTACCGACTCTCCTTGCCACCAAGTTCCGTGGGGCCACAGATGTCCTGGCCATGGGGGTTAAAGACCAGATGTCCCTTCCCGGCCACAATGCTCCATGCCAGCACAGTGCCAGCATGGCCCGTTGCTGACACAGCCCTGGAGCCCCTGACTTTGGAACTGAGGGGAAGGGGGGATAGGGGCCAGGTGGCTCGTCTCCTGAAGGAAATGCCTTTGAGAGCCACAGACCGGCCCAGGAGCACCTGGCTGCTGGGTGGCCTATGCCCTGCTCCTACAAGCTGGCAGACGGCTGCCCTGGCCTGCCCAAGCCACGTGCCCTGCAGAGAGCTCCTCTCCCACTGCCCACTGCCCACAGGGAGGCCGGCTGTCCGGACGTTTGGACGAAATTCTGGGCAGCCGGATGCTTGCCTGGCTTCCTGCCTGGGAAGTGGCATGGTGCCCCAGGGAGCACAGCCACAGAGAGCTCGATTGAAGACCTGAATCCTGGCACTCACTAGTGGTGGACCATGGCTCAGAGGCCACTCTTTCTGCACCTCAGTTTCCTGGTTTGTAAGAGAAAGCTAATCACAAACATGGGGGTGGCACCTGGAGGCACACCCCGCAGAGAGTAAGTAAGGGATGATCACGGCTCCTTCCCCTCCCACGGCACATGCTCCACACCAGCCGCTGCAGGCACAGCTGGCCCCGGGGGGCCCTGGGAGGACTTCTGGAGCCCCCACCCTGGAAACTGATTCCACCTTCTTCATCCTCGCTGCCTTCCGTGCACCTGGCCTTGGCACACCCCCTCTTCCCTGTCATTCCCTCCCACCAGACTAACAGCTTTGAGGGCAACACCAGGTCCAACTCTGCACCTAACAGAGTGCTGGGCACATGGGAGCGGCTGCCTGCACAAATCGATGACATCTTTAGGCCCAGAGGATTCCAAGCCTAAGGGACAGTATTTGTGTGAGAGCGTCTATGATTGACAGGTAGGACTTCCTGAGGCACCTCAGTCCTCCCATAGGAAGGATCTCTTTAAGGCAATTGGCAAATGAGCAGTGAGCACTCACCCAACCCACGCTGGTTCCCCTGCCTTCAGGAGATTCACCACTTGTCCCTGACAGAACTGGAACCGTCACAACCAACGGCCTGGACGCAGACAATACTAACGACATTTCTTTGATCCAGACTCTTCTGGGAGGAAGAGAAACAGGAAAAAAGGCTCATACACCCACTCAATGTTTACTGAGCACCTACTTGGATCTCAAAAAGAAACTCTACCATCAGGGCCATGTTCAAAGCTTTTAGATAATAAATGTGGTACTAAATAAGTATGTCACCAACTATGTTGGACGGTGGTAAGCCCTACAGAGAAAAAACAAGGCAGGGAGTACAGGCAGTCCTGGACACGATGGTTCCACTTTCAGTGTTTTACTTTACCATGGTGAGAGCACATTGGGTATGCTTGTCCACTTATGATGGCATTACACCTGGATAAACGCACTGTAAGTTGACTTACAATGTTTTCAACTTATGATGGATTTATTGGGATTTAGCCCCATCCTAAGATGAGGAACATCTGCACGTGGAAAGGAGCATAATTTTAAATAGACGGTCAACCTATTTAAGAAGATGACTCTTGAGCAATGCCCTTGAGGTTGAGACAGTCAGGGTATCAGGTGTCCCAGGCAGAGAGCAGCAAGTGCAAAGGCCCTGAGAAGGGCTGGAGCAGGTAGGTCAGGAATCAGCCAGGAGATCAGGAAGGTTGGTAGGCACGGTGAGTACCTTGACTTTCACCAAGGGAAATGAAAATGCAGAAAAGGGGCATGACCTGCCTTACTTTCCTGAGATCACTCGGTGGATAAGAGACTCAATGAGGGGCAAGGGTGGAAGCGGGGCGACCTGGCCAAGAGGTCCTGGCCCAGGGTGGTGGCAGAGACGGGAGAAGCGGCCAGACACGGGGTATTTCGAAGTCACGGCCAACAGCATGGTCGAGGACGCCACGCCTTCTGTCTTAGAACTGACAAGGGGCTGCCGCTGGGCAGCTGCGACGACCGCGTTTCAGGGCGGGCACGGCGGAGGGAGCGCCGGGAGCCATCGCAGCGAGAGGGCGTTTACACGCGGCCCGCGGCCGCCCGAGGCGGGAGCGGGGACTGGGCACTGGAGGTACGGCGGCGCCCGGGCCCTTCGCACACGGCCCTGCCCAAGCTCGGATGGGCCTCCTCCCTGAGCTGGGTGTCACCGGCCGCCTGCCCCGCGCTTCTGGCGGCCGTCTGGGGCCGGCCCGGGGCTGCTCCCGCCTGCAGCCTCGTGCCTGGAGGACGGCAACGCACACGCGAGCGCCAACATGCCACAACCGCCCGCCACCAAAAGCCACTGGGCCCGGGCCGGAAGCCCCGCCTCGTCGGCCCTCGCCGGCCGGAAGTCCTCGAGGCCGAGCTCTCGCGAGACGCCTTCCGAGCCTGGCCCCCTCGGAGGCTCCGCCAATCGCTGCGCGCCTGTCCGCGTTGCTGTGGCAACCATGCCTTGCGACCGCTTCCCCGTAGCCGGCCGGCGGCGCCCAGTGCTCGGGACCTGGGCCCGGCGTGCTCGCAGCTCCCGCGCGCGCTCCGGCGTCACGGGCGTCCTGCCCCCCGCGGCCGCGCGCTGCGGAGCTCGGGGTCTGGCGGGAGTGGGGGGCCGCAGGGAGCCCGCCCCAGCCCCCCGCCTTTCGGGTGTCCCCGCGGCACGCGCGCCGCGCCCAGCCCCGCTCCCCGGGCCTGGCCGGGGGTCCCCAGGGCCCTCTCCCTGCCTCCCCTGGGCTCAGGGCTGGGGCCGGCGGCGGAGGGAGGAGGGGTCCGGAGACGCGCGGCCCCGCGCACGGGAGCCCGGCCTCGGCCGGCGGGGAGGGTCACGGTCACGGTCAGGGTCAGGGTTAGGGGAGGGAGGCGGGAGGCTGCCCGGCTGCCACCAGCCTGAGGACGGGGTCTGGCCGGACCCAGCGAATGTCTCCTGAAAAGGAATGAAAACGTGAGCTGGGGAGGGAGCCGTGTCCCTTGGGTTCACCCAGAAATCTGACTGAAAGGAAAGTTACTGCGACTGGGGAAAAGCACAGTTGCCTGGAGAATTTGGTTTAAAAATAAATAAATAACTTTTAAATTATGTAACTGACACGTGTTCAGTGTGGAACATTTTGAAAACACATGAAAGTACCGTATAAAAATCCTTGATCCCACCGCCATATACAACCACTGCTAACGTTTGAGAATATTTTCTTCTCGCCTTCTTTCTTAATGCATTTATGTTGCGTATTCTTTCTTCTAACAAAATGTGTGGACGTGCCTCAGTCCCCCACAGATCTTTACGTTGTGGAGGCTCTGATGGGACCCGGGCAGAGTTCCCTTTCCTGCCTAACACCCCTTCCCGCCTCACCCCTGCAGCGGTTCTCAGCAAAGGTGGGGTGATAGGCTTAGGCTGTTGCAGCCCCTGGTTCCCAGAGCCCCACCTTCCCCTGCAGACAGGCTCCTGGGAGCCTCGGTGAGTGCTCTGTGCTCTGTGCTCCATGTCCCTTTCTACAGTCCCAAATTCCTCTGACCTAGGTCAGGTGAAGGGTTGGTGGGGGGACAAGTTCCCCGTGAAGCTTGAGGAGCCTGTTAGTCAGGTGATGGGGGAAATCCAAGCAAGCAGCCCGACAGGGGACAGGGCTCCAGCCTCCAGTGCAGCAGGGTCGGGAAGGAGGAGAGGCAGCCAGGGGCCAATGCCACCCCTCTGCCTCTGCACTCCCTGGGGAACACTGGGGACTCCTAGGACCAGTAACCCAAGAGGGATGCACACCTACACACACACATAGACATGGTCTCACCCTAACAGGGCAGGGAGGCCCATGGTGGTCCAGGCACCCTGGGAGAAGCCCCTGGCGTGCCCCAGCTAGCCTGGGCTACCCTGGGCACAAGTCAGAAGCAGTGTGACCTAGGGGGACACCCCTCCCTCTGAGCCCCCTCTGACCCGGCTGTCAGTAATCTCCCTGCAGGGCACACAGTCCCCTGAGCTGCTTCTCCAGGGCCATGGGAAAGACCTTGCTGGCTGTCATACTGCCGCAGACAATGTGGGGAATGGGGGCACCCGGCCCCTGCGTGTCCTGGCTCCTTGGTGTTTGCAGGTCTGGGTTGATTTTGTCTTTCCCCAAAATTGTTTGTCCTAAAGGCTGTCTTGAGTGCAGTGGCTCCTCTGCTCAGAGGGGTCATGGTGACAGCAGCAGTGGGCACCTCTGTGCTCTGCCGGGGGGCTCAGTACCCTCTGGCTGCCTGGGGCAGGTGGAGCAAACAACCCTGTCCAGTTATCTGCAACTGATTTTTGGCAGAAGTTCCTAGAAGGTGGTTTGACATCCAGAGGCCATCTACGTGTTCTCTCACACCCCGGCACACCTGCAGGGCAGAAGGAGCCCCTGCCCCACGCTGAGCGACCACAGTTTACTCCAGATGCCTTCACCTCCACCCAGACACAGCCGCCTGGCTGCCCACGCCCCAGAATGTTTCTTTCCAAAGTCATTTCCCGTTTCTCCTCTGCTCAAAGTCACACGCTGGCTTCCCATATCCCTCAGAGTAGAACCTGACCTTTCCCTCTATATGTGAGCATCCACTAGAGCCCAACCAAAGACCCAGGAGCACACTGCAGGGGCTGGAGCCAAGTTTATTGACTGGACACTACGACGAAGACCTCGCACCATGGCGAAGTGCAGGACATCTCAGCAAGAGGGAGGCAGGAAGGGGAGGAGTGGGAGAGACTCAGGGAAGCAGGGGTGAGTACACAATCCAGCATCTCGACAGGTTTTGCCAGGAAGGCAGGGGACAGGGTGACACTGGAGCTGAAACTGACGAAGCAGCCGCAGTCACTGAAATTGGCGGGGAAAGGGGAAGGTCTAGACGATGCCCACATTCTGGCCGTGTTCAGACACGACAACCACGGGCTTGTTTGTATCGTGACCCATCTCAGTGACGTGGTGGCCTTGTCTGGGGTTGGTGTCCAGGGACATTGTTCAGCCATAGAATTGTGATCCGGCCAGCGATGAGTGACGCCAAGGCTGGCTGCTTTTCTTTTTCTCCAGACCCTGTGTGACCTGACCCTCAGCTGCCCTCCACTCACCTGCTACTGCTCTCTTTGTCCCCATTCCTCCTGCCAGGCGGGTTCCCTTTGTGGCTGGGCAGGTTCCTCCTCAGGCCTTTCAAAGTAGCCTCGTCCTCAGCTCAGAGCCTCTGCCTCGGGGACCTCGCCGTCCGTCCAGCTTGCTGTACCCTTCGTCGTGGCTCTCCCGCCAGCTTCCTTGCCACCTACTGGAATCCTGTGCCCTTCTGGCCTCTCTGCCCACCCCACCACCAAATTCCCATGAAGAGAGTCTGGGTGACACATTGTTGTGTGTCACCATCCTGGCCCGGGATGGTTCACACGTAACTTGGTCCTCCCAAGCCTCTCAGACGTCTTTTGGTGTCAGTGACCCTGCTCCGGCCCATTTTCCCTGCTCCAAGACTCAGAGACCACAGCTGGCTGCAGGTGGGCCCAGAGTGCACGCGACAGCCCTTCAGCCTCCCCTCCTACTGCCAGATGCCCGGGCCAGCAACGTGGGGACCCCAGAGCCCTGGAGAGCGGAGAAGCTGAGAGACGCTGCCCTCTGCCCGGCGCACAGTGGGTCTGGCTCCTTAGTGCACTGAGCGCCAGCCCCCAAGGGCCCGCCCTTTCTTTCGCTGTTAAGATGCAAGGACCTGCCCGCCCTCATTAGTGTCTGCAGCTGCCATAACCGAATGCCATAGACTGGGCGGCTTCAAACAACGGAAACTCATCCCCTCACAGTTCTGGAAGCTGCAAGTCCAAAATAAAGGTGTCAGTAGGGTGGTGCCTTCTGGAGGCTCTGAGGAAGGATTCATCTCATGCCTCCCTGTGAGCTTCTGGTGGCTGCTGGCAATCCTCGGCATCCCTTGGCTCGGAGATGAATCACTCCAACCTCTGCTTCCGCCGACACGTGGCCTCCTTCCTGAGTGTGTGTCTGCCTCTTCTTTTCTTCTAAGGGCACCAGTCTTTGGATCTGGGGCCTGCCCTGATCCAGTCTGACCTCGTCTTAACTTGGTTACACCCCCAAAGACCCTATTTCCCAAATAAGGTCCCAGTCACAGGTTCCAGGAGGCATGCCTTTGGGGACGGCGTTATGGCACCCAGCGCGCCTCCCGCCCCCACACGGTGGAAGCCCGTGTCCCGGGAGGATTCCCACGTCCTGCTGCTGCCTGTGTGCAGCTGGCTCAGTGGGTGGCCTGCGGTGGACGAAGCCCAGCTCCCCACTCCCGCAGAGCGGCGTCCCCGCGGCTGTCCGGGCAGCAGCCATTCACTGATGTTTGGAGTGACGGGACAGCCTTCCACAGGTGACCCCAGCCGTCTCTCTGCCCTGCCGGGCCCACTGACTCTTCTTCCCCCGACTCTCAGTGCCACCGGCTCTCGCCTCTTCCCTGCCAGGATGGCCACGAGCACCACAGTCCCTGTCCCTTGGCGTCTGAGCAGCTCAGCCCTCTCTTCCCGCCACATTCCGCCTCCTCCCGCCTGGGCCCCTGCGGGCGGGCGGGGGAGGGGCCGGCCCACCTTTCAGACCTGGAAACCCACCCGGGGCACTTTCTTGAACACAGTCAAGCTGGCCTGAGAGCTATTCTGTCCCCTTAGTATATGAAAGCAGTCGGTTCTCACTGCAAAGAGCATTTCTGTTTTTTTCTTCTTTCTACATCTGCGCTGACATTCTGTGATTCTTAGAGAACTAGAATTCTGAAGAGCAAAGCCCGGAGCCAAGAATACTCGAGCCAGAAGGGATTTCTCTGAGGAACACAACAGACGCGGCCTGCGCCTGTGGGGTTCAAGGCTGGGTTTGGGGGGGGCGCCGGGCCTCACAGACGACGCACCGGGCACCGGCGTGGCTTGCACCACGGCGAGGCACCTGGACAAGGATTGATCTACTGCGCGGGGCAGCGGCCGGCACGAGTAGGATTTAGTCAGGCAACTGGTTTCCTGGATCTGACACCAGAAGCACAGGCAATAAAAGAAAACATAGCTAAGGACTTCCTCCAAATTAGAAACTTTCCTGCATCTCAGGACGCTGTCAAGAGAGTGAAAGGAACCCACAGCATGGGGGAAATGTTTGCATATTATAAAATATCATCTGATAAGGGATTAATATCCAAAATATATAAAGAACTTCTGCAAGCTCATCAACAAAAAAACCTGAGTCAAAAATGGGCCAAAGGATTTGCATAGGATACTTCCCACAAATAGATACATAACTGGCCACTAAGCCCATGACAAGAGGCTCAGTGTCGCCTCTCATTGGGGAAGTGCCACAACTGTGCCCAGCACTGTGGCTCAGGCCTGCAGTCCCAGCACTTTGGGAGGCTGAGGTGGAGGCGGGAGGACCACTGGAGCCCAGGGGTTTGAGAACAGCCTGGGCAACATATTCATAACAAGACACTGTCTCCATGAAAAAAATTTAAAAATTAGTCGGGCCTGGTGGCGCTTGCTTATAAGCCCAGCTACTCAGGAGGCCAGGGCGGGAGACACTTGAGCCCAGACAAGGAGGCTGCAGTGAGCTGTGATGCACACTGCACCCAGCTTTGGACAGAGTGAGACTGTCTCTAAAAAAATAAAAAGGACAAAGAAAAGAAATGCAAAAATTAAAAATAAAACCACAATGAGATACCATGTCATACCCATTAGGATGGCTACTATCAAAAACCCAAAAAATGGCAAATGTTGGTGAGGACGCCGAGACGTTGGAACCCTGTGCGTCGCTGGGGGGAATGGAAGACGGCGCGGCTGCTGTAGAAACACTTTGGCCGTTTCTCAAAGAGCTAAACATAGAATCATCACAGGATCCAGCGACTGCACTGCTGAGCGTCTACCCGAGGACTCGGGAGCAGGGCCTCAGGCGGACACTCACACGTCCCCAGTCCTTGGCAGCACCGTTCACAGTGGCCAAGAGGCGGGCGCCACCCGGGTGTCCACCAGCGAGCGAGTGGACAGACAGAGCGTGGTCTCTGCACGCAGAGAGCCTCCCCCGGCCGCGGACACAGTGAAGCTCTGACACCCGCCACGAGCTGGCTGGACCTTGACCGCCCTCACGCTAAGTGAACGAAGCCAGCCGAAAAACGAACAAATGTTGTGTGATCCACCGATGTCAGGCACCTGGAGGAGGCAAACCCACGTAGACAGACGGTGGCGTGGAGCCTCCCGGGGCCGGGGTGGGGCGGGACGGGGAGAGACTGCGTCGTGGGCACAGAGCTGCTGTTTGCAGTCATGAAAAGGCTTTGCAAATAGACAGTGGTGGTGACTGCACCATGTAGTTAGTGCCACCGAATTGCACACTTATAAAGGGTTAAAATGGTAAATGTTATGTCGCATATCTTTACTATAATTTTTTTAATTAATGACGTGCCACATCAGAGCCATTGACTCGTACGCTTTACATGGTGAGTTTCATGGCTCCTGAGCTACATCTCATCGAAAGTGTGAAAAGACAGAGGGGGCAGCAGCAGCCCCCCCCCCCCCGTGCAGACCCGAGGCGGCGCTGGGGGCCTGGCCGGCTGCCCGGCCCACATGGGCAGAGGGAGGTGCTCAGAGGGGCCGCACACACAGCGCCACTGAGGCAGGGCCCCCGCTTTGTCTGCCTGTGCCGCTCCCGGCCGCTCTGTGCCGAGCACAGCCTCCCCCCCAGAAGCCAATTTTCCGCACAGTGAAAATGTTTTCTCCATGCCCACTTCGGCAGATGGCCCCCCACCTTGGCCTGAATTGAGAAGCACAGAAAGCAAACAGGGGACAGACGGCTTCCTTGGCAATGCCCTGCAGGCACACGCGCGCACACC